ACCAGTATCTGCTACTCCTGAATCACTGAATCACTGAAAATGTACATGTTAGTTATTTTTTACACTGACAGCCACTAGAGGGCACTCTAGGCTTGTGTACCAGTATGTGCTAGTCCCTTAAGTTGCACTTTCCCCCCCCATCCTTTTACAGAGATGTTTTTGGAGGTTCATATTAATTTGATCACATGTGTGAAAACTGTCAAGTCAATAAAGGTTAACCTGCTACTCCGAGTAGCTATTTTATCCCTAAAATAAATATTTAAAAAACGAATTTAAATTAAATTTGGTTTGTTTTAACTGTAATTCTAAATTTGAAGATTATAATCTCTGTTGGAACATTCAAATAAAACCGGTTTGAATTCACTTTTGTCTCTCAAAATACACATCACAACGCGTGACTCTTTATCGAACTTATTTAGACTTTTCAACAGACTTTTGAAACATATGCATTCAGTGTCCTGTCCATGCTCAGATCTTCTCCACCATCAACAATATTATTTGTTATTATTATTTTGCCAATATAGGTTTTTTTTTTACACATTATTTAGTGCAAACTGACAGTGAATGGTTTTAAAGTAACCTTCAACCCAGCGTAAAAGTTGGGGGAGTTCAACGTGTTTTTGTTGCACGCAGAAATAAAATTGGGTTTTCTCTGTAGCAGTTTTATAAATGCAACAAACTACAGGGGTTTTTTTTTTATACATTTCATAAAGGTAAAAACCATAGTAGAAGTCTTTGACCTTTGCTTTTTCCACGCAAATAGGACTTTGGTTTAAATCTCGGAAAAAATAATCTAATTTGAATTTGTCCAATTTGAAGATTAGTTCATTTAATTTCTGTTACATACTGTAGTTACCGGGCAGTCTACTGTACATTCAGCAGTCAGAATCCAAAGGTTACAGACTTGTAAATCAGGTGCTACGGTTCCACGCCCAGTGTCAGTGTTCCTGATGAAAAACTCTGTGACCTCAGTCTAAGGATACGCTTCTCATTTTCTCTACTGATTAACCAACCTTAACATACCAGGAAGAAAGGCGTGGTCAAACCACATCACAGATTAGATTATTTTTATCATGTAGAATGTAATTTTATAAAGATTAATAGGTCAGAGTACTGTGTATAAAAAAAAATAGTGTTGGTTTAAATCCTGGCTTTGTAGCCTTAAAAATGTATTTTTGAAGAATGAAAATTGTAAAATATATATTATATATATATATAATATATATAAAATATATATTTTTAATAGGTCTAATCAATCATCCCACTGTTACAGAGTGTTTACAAACAGGAAAGTGGAGTTCAGTAATTTCTTAAAGCACATATAAAAAATGATTTGTGCCACAGAAAAATACAATTAGTGACACAACGTGACCACCAGAGGGCAACAGTTGACAAAGCAGCTCCTGTGAATTAAAATGATATTCTTTGACTTCTTTGGTCTATGGGGTGATACAGCAAATAGGTTCCCAAGGTATTATAGACTTTTGGACGATTCCAATTTAAATGAGCTGAGTCATTGGTGGGAAATAAAATTGGACATAACAGCAATAAGATCTCAGGCAGCCATTGAGTCAAGTTTCTTCCTGCATAGACACAGAGATTCTTGCTGTTCTGCTGTTATTTAAAACCTGAAAATACCTGTTTGCATTGAGGAAGAGGACAAATGGCCAACACTGCAGGGTCAAATAACCCTGGACAAAAAAAAAACAAACAAAAAAAAAAAACGCCCCATGACAGTCTGAATGTGTTTACCTCGTAGCTTGTAACTCGAGGTGCTTTTATCGCAATTTTTTTTCTCGAAGAACTAATCCGGCACTAATCCCTTATTAGTGCTAATAACAATGGAAAAAACACGTTTTTAACGTGCTCACGGCACCACTCTCATATTTATCGACAATTCAGTCGATCACGTAAGATAACGCAAACACAATACGGAAGACTCGCGGGAGTTGCGTACGGATGTCGACGAACACGCGAAGTGAACGAGTGAGGCGGCGCGGGCCGTTCCGAGTGCTCGGCCACCGAGCGTCGGCGTCTGTAAGCGCGCTCGTATCTCGGAATCTTTACTCGTATCTCAAGGCAAAAATTAGCTTGAAGGCTTGCGCATATCTCGGCATACTTGTACGTCGGGACGCTCGTATCTCAAGGTATTACTGTACATGTCTCTGCAACGGACTATTATTTATTCAAGTTGCGCATATTGCACATTGCTCTGCGTGATATACTACTGTACATGTCTCTGCAACTGACTATTATTTATTCAAGTTACGCATATTGCACATTGCTCTGCGTGATAAAAAACGGAATTACTCCAGTTAAGAAACTCATCTACACTGACAGCCGCTAGAGGGCACTGTAGGCTTGGTTGCCAGTATCTGCTACTGCTGTGCTACTGAAAATTTACATGTGCGTTATAATTCCACCGACAGCCGCTAGAGCGCCCTCCAGGCTTGTGTACCAGTATCTGCTACTGCTGTACTACTTAAAATTTACATGTGCGTTATTATTACACTGACAGCCACTAGAGGGCACTATGCATTTTTTGGCTGGTGCCGCTTGTACTCCGGAGCAACTTATAGTCTGGAAAATACGGTAGTTTTTTTTTTTTTTTTTTGCTAAAGGTGCTCCTGTGTCTAACCAGCAAATCCAACTATTAATCATTCACTTAATTAATTAAGTAATTAATTATTTGGAATGTGTAAATCTGCAATGTGTGTTAGGAATGTTTTAGAAATGAGATCTCTTGGACTAAGGAATTTTGGTATAAAAAAAAGAAAGTTTTTTTGAAATGTGGTATGCTGAAGGACGACGGAGAACAGACTTTAAAGCCATGTATTTTATTTATTTACTTATTTATTTTTTTGTGTGTGTGTTTGACTCTCCATACCCACTGCACCAACCTAGCCCTACTATTCCAGGTGCCGTTTAGCTCATTTGTACTATTTATGGCTAACGTAACATATCGGTTTTGCGGTATCTAAACTTGCACTTACATGTGTTTAAACCAGTTCTTACCTGTCTTGGCTAATGATTGTTTAATTTTATCAAAGAAAGATTTTTTTTTTTTTTTCAACGTTATCTAATCTGTAATGTCACAACATTATTACTATCTGAAAAATCCATTCAGATCCAATCCAGGTGTCCAACACACCTTTGGAGTACCACGTCCCGATACGTTTCTATTGGTATCATTAGGAAGCATGAAAGGATCCCATTAAATGAACGCTGTGCACGTGTATGGGACTCAGTGTATTGTAATAGATGTTCTTCAACCAGAGTGGGTGACCCCCCCCCTCCCCTGATGCCTCATTAGTGAAGTGCCTCCTAAAGCAGCAGATGCCTGTTAGACACTGCTTTGCTGATAAAGGAAGCCAGTGTTGGCATTTTGGATAATACTCTGCTGCAGCAAAGCTGCTTATCAGAGCAGCTTTGCTCGAAGCTATCGCTATAATCGCACAATAGTTACGTGCACAACACAACACAGTGCACAAACACTGCTGCGGTCACTGTCACTTTGGGTCCTCCCGCTCCTTGTGCCACCGTTGGCCGCCTAAGGTAATTTGGTAATCGAAGTCAAATTTGACATCAAATCTTTAGGAGATTTCGTCGTTTCGTTTTTTGGCTTTTAACATATTAAATTTTTTTTTTAGTTAAATACTAGCTACTCTCTTAACTACGCTTTGTTGATCGCACCAATCCGTAACCATCAATCACTGTAGACTGTCCGGTTCAAAACTGTCAATCATATCGTTATAATCATTACAATGTGGCTCCGTGGTATAGCGGTTAGCACGCCCGCCTTGCAAGCCTGCCGAGAATCTTGGGTTTGATTCCGACATATCCCAAATGAATGAAATGTACTTAACGGCGCCTCCTTGTGGGATGAATAACGGAAATCAATTATTACTATTATTATTAGTAATAATATTATTTATATTCTTCATGGAAAAAGACCAGGACGTTGTCTGTGCCGCGCGTGAAAACACAGACAGACAAACACTGACACAGATAATGATGACCCAGCGTTAGGCTACTCAGGCTGCCATGGAAACCTGCAGGAAGCTACGAGAGTGTGTGTGTGCGTGCATGTGTGTATCTGTGTGTCTCTGAGTGCATCTCACAGAGATAGTAGCTAAGGAAACCTGCTACTGCCACTGCCCTCTGTGAGAGTCGGAGCTTCACGCCGGTGACAGTCGATCAAAGCGGCTCGTGTCTACGGCGCAGCAAATCTTACTATATTACTAGAACACACATATATATTTATGTATATTCTGCATTTATTTATTAATTCAAATGTCAGAGCTTAATTTAAATTTTTATCAGTGGAAATGTTTTATTTACACATCCAAACCACCAGTACACTTTTCTATCTCGCGCACCCCCCCTAGTGGCAGCCCCCCCCCCTCTCGTGCGTCTTTCTTCAATTGGAGTCTACCTGCGTTGTGTTCAACTAAACAGGCCCAGGATTTTTAAAATGAGCCAGTCATTTTTGAGTAAAATGAAGATCATAATATTTAATTGTGTACTTTTATATACTTTTTTTTTTTATGACAAACTAGTTGGTGCATCCTGGGAATTTTCTCATGTAAAAAAAAAAAAGCAAGCTACAGTGACCTATATAAAGTTCCGATTCACACCCACGTTGCTGAATCTCAAAGTTCATTTCTCAGATTCCTTCGAAGATTTACGTGTCTGTAGTGCAGATAAGAGCGCGACAGCTCTGTAGCTGCTGTACGCCACGTACAAAAAAAAAAAAAAAAACAAAAAATATGTTGTATTGTACATGTCACCGAGCCTCTACCGAGTTGATATGATGTGAAGTAGCCTGAAGAAAAGCCTAGTTCTCTTTTTTATGATGCTTTTAAAAGCCTCTCACAGAGAAGATAAACCGCATTAGACCAACAACCCTGGGGGAAGATTAACATCTGCAGCTTTTAATGCAGTTGAGAAGAATAAAAAAAAGAGGAGTTCTTCTCATTAGTCCCGGGGTTGTACTGGACCAAAGATACAATTGTTTTTGCTGAAGCGATTGGTAAATAAAAGACAGACGATACCTTCAAAGACACGGGTTAGCAGAATAAGCTAATAAAAAAAATGTATTCTTGGGAAGAACTTTGCAAACGTTAAAGGGTTTGCATGCAAGAACAATGATAAAGGTTTATCGCACTTTTATCACACTACCACTGGGTCAAAGTCTCAAAATGCTACGGAGAGATACAAGTGAGATTGGAAAACAAACTCAGCTGCGAGGTATAAATGATACCACCGGGGTATTTCAACTGTTCTTTAAGCGCCCGGGGAGCAGTGTGCGGGGACGGTGCCGTGCTCAGAGCACCTCACTGGTAACTTGGCAGCTGAAGCCTTCTGGACCCAAGTCTGTTTCCTTAACCACTAAGCCACCACTGGCCCAATAGTAATTAGCCAACAGTACACCGAGTACACATTGCATTAGCCAATGCTACGCTGCGTACGATCTCGTCTAGGTAAACAAAGTTAGCGGCGATCGTTCGCAAATGCGCCGATCTCAAAATTTCAAAAGGAGAATCCACATCTTTAAAGCCAAAACTTTTGTATGTTTAATTATTTTATCATGTCTTATAGTTTATTTTTTTGCAATATTTTGCGATAGAGCGAAAATTTCACGAGATCGGATTCCAAAAAAAAAAAAATCTGCGATGTACTGAGGGAGAGAGAGGAGAACCGCGATACAGAGAGGGGAAAACCGTATTGTGAATTTTTATATACAGTAAAACCAAATGTATTGTCTAAATGAAAACTTTTTAACATTTTATAACATTTTTTTTAGTATTCGTAATGTAACCCTGTTGACTTTAACTCCAGTGAACGACACAAAAATGATCGTAGGACACTGTATATAACTACGAACGGCATGGTGAGGTATGACGTCATGTGTTTTTGTCCAACCCACATGCTATACTGTAGGAATGATGTCATTGTTCTTTAGCCGACTCGTGTATGTTACAGATATGATGTCATCGATGTATAGCCAACATATGTATATTCCATATGCTGTATGATGTCATCTAGTGGTAAGGTATGATGTCACTGATTTTTGTCCAACGAGCATGCTGTACTGCAGGAATGATGTCACGAATCTGAACTTAACACATAAAGGGAACAGATCCGGACTTGTGGGCGGAGCTACTCACGTTAACATAGTGCACAAGGTTCTCCTTTTCGTTGACTTTGTAGGTCTTGACGTCGTATTCCCGTGCCAATCGCAGGATGCGGTTCTGAGTGGGTCCGACGTATGCTCCGCCCAGATCCACCCACTTTGACTCCTTATTCTGGGAGCCCAAAAAAAAAAAAAAAATGTAAAAAGCAAATACACCTCAATAAGAAAATATTAACATTAGAAACCTGAGACTGGATGTGGTCAAGTTTGCAAAATGACTAAAGAATTGCTTAAAAATACTAACTAATAAGTACTAAATGTTAAAAGATAAAATACAGCACATAGAGCGCAGGGACAGCTATAAGTAAAAGGAAGGTGAACAAAAATAGCAGAATAGAAAAAAAAATGAACTTGACTAAATGCTTTGTTATTATATGAAATTATTTATTTTCCTGATGCACATGTTCATTGAAGTAAATAAAAAAAAAAAAACAACTCTTGACCTACGGGTTTTACCTGAACAGTGAAGGTTCGACCACCGACACGGTCCCTGGCCTCCAGCACAACAGGGTTCAGACCATGAGACTTTAACAACTTGGCTGCGCTTAGACCTAAAAATAAAATATGAAGATAAAAAGAACAGACATCAAGAAAAACATCCAACACACATTTCAAAAGCAGTAGCAGTTATCGTGACTAGTAAAAAAATGGACCGACTTCTTAATGCCAAAATCTATTTTCTCACCATATACTGTAACATTTTTACAGTCATTTTTACAACTCTTATCGATAACTACATTTTACCATTTCCAGTCAGTAACTCAATTCATGAACATGAAGTCTGGTCCATTACAGCCCCCCAAGGCTGCCGTTCTACAGAATAGTCTTTATTGATGGACATTGAGGATGGACGGAGGATGTTGATGCAGTCTCTTGCCATTTCTGTTTCGGTCCTAAAATTGGTTAGTCATGCATAGTCAAGTCATGCATAAAGGCTAGAAGGCTAAAATGCTTTTTATCATTTTCTACGCCATCTATTGGGGACATGTGGGAATTGCAGAGAAAAGGCAGAAGTATAACGATAATATAAATAAATTATATAATTTGGCCCCCGGGGCCTTAATTTGCACATGCACTGGTTTAAACTCACTCTATAGTTGAACTTAGTTACACCCCCGATACAAGCCGCACCCGGCCTTAATTTGCACATGCCTGGTTTAAACTCACTCGATAGTTGAACTTAGTTACACCCCCGATATGTATCTTCTTCTTTTTCTTTCGGCTTTGTCGGCTTTTTGTCAGGGGTTGCCACAGCGAAAAACATTGATTTCCATATTGCCCTGTTTGTCTTACTTGTCCACTTATATATGTTTTTTTTTTGTCTTTATTATGCTTTTTTTTGGCTGGAAAATATGGTACATGCTGGGTGTTGAAAGGGTATCTTAAGGTCCAGGTGCATCATACAACAAAAACAGTGCATCATTCTGCCAATGCTTAAAAATCCATCCATCCATCCATCCATCCATTTTCATCCGCTTATCCGTTACCGGGTTGCGGGCGCAGCAGTCGCCACCCAAATCACATTGCACCGTACCTAAACCTTCCTGCGGGTGGTGAGTCCACTGGAAGGTACCAACCTAACCCTAACCGGGATTCGAACTTGCCCAGGAGGTGAACCCTGGGGTTCCACCCCAATGACAGAGACATTGCCTGTGGGCCAAAGCGCCACATGCTTAAAAATATGTCTGAATAATCTTCACACATGAAGTCCAGCTCTGGTCTACTCGCAACGTACAGAGTGAAATATACTTGCTCAAACATGAACCTACGGTATACCTGAAAAACCGGTAGGAGTCTGGTTTGAGTCCAACTCTTATTCAAAGAACACGCTCCGGGGCATTAGCCAGTGTAATTATTTTCGTGGCCTTCACCCTACATTCTCTCCCACCGATTCTCCTTTCTTCCTCCTCGTACCAGTTCCTCGGAGCTCGGTCAGAGCCAGTAGTGTTTATATGATATTGGATATATCCTTTCCTGTGTCCTGTATTACCCTACTTTGTCTTTTTCTCCCAGCTGTGCAAACACACTCAGGCTGTCAGGCTGTGGAGGGGGAAAAAAAAAAAAAGCGCCTCACAAATCTTGTTGCGCCAAATTGATACTATTACGTGCACTCAGCTAACAACGGTTAGCTTTTGTCTCTGAAAACAAAGGGCGTTTGTCTGCGTCTCTGCGTTTATGCCGACAGCGTGCAGTAAAATGTCTGTATCTGGCTTTAATCAGAGAGCACGGGCGCATTAAAGACAAAGTCCGTTTTTTTTATTTTATTTTATTCACTACATGAAAGCTTTATATAAATATAAGAAGCAGTAGTGCCTTCAGATGTTTCAGACTGAAGCCTTAATCCTGGATATTTAAGTTGCAGATTGACTACCTGCTTTGATGCACCGGGTCCACTTTCAAAAAACAAGTGCGTGGACATGAAAATATCAACAATATATGGAGGGAAACATCTAAGAAAATTGGGAAATAAAGACACCACAAAACCCTACAATTAAATACAAAATGTAATAAAAACTCAAATCAGGCTAAAGGATGCTCAAAACATTTGGCGATCACATACATAAAAAGCCATCCCTAGGAAAGGGTAAGCGCTGTTAGGTCGCCCAAGGGAGTAAGGGAATGCTCAGGTGGTTGCTCAACAGGGCAGGATTCGTACCTGCAATCCCCTTATGAGAAGCCCAATCCTCTTAGCACTAGGCCACGGGCAAGCCAAGAAAACAAATGAACAAAATATGTTAAAAGGGTGTGATCTAATCATATGCCAAGATCCGGGTTCTTGCAATTCAGCGAGTCCACTAACAATGGAATATGTAATGCCTGGCTAACCAAAGGCTTTTTGTGTAGATTTTTTTTTTTTTTTAATTTCCAAAATGTTGTGAGATTGTGAGACAATTGCCTTGTCAGCATCCACGCCAAACGCCACCGGAATGACGGTAAGTGGAGAGGAACGATGGGAAGATGAAGCAGGGACCGCTGGCTCTGAGACTACGTCTAAACACCTACAGACATGCTTGATTTTTAACCAAAGAGACAGAGCCACAGCCTGGAATGATCCCCCGGTCATGTGAGGCTCAGCTAGTGAAGGTTGAGTGACCGCCACTGTACCGACACAAGCCGTTTGATGAGAAGAGCAGGGAGGAGATGAAGGGGAAGGAGGTGTCCAAGTGTCAAACTAAAGGCCCTCCTCGAGTTTAATTACGATTAAGTGATGATAATAATAATAATAATAATAATAATGATAATGTGTTGTTTTTGCAGGCGTAGAGTTACGTTGGCGATTTGAGTGATTTGATTGGATGCTCAAAGGACATATCTTTGGGGTTGTGTCTTTAGTAATGTCATCAGTTATAGTATCTAATAAGTATCTCTACAGTATCTACAGTATCTATAATTATAGCTGCTACATTCTAGGGATGCAAGTGCGGGCTTGTCGGATCGCTGAAATTGTCTTTTTGACTGGGCAAAGAAATCACTGTTGTCACGCTCTTTGGTTTACAAGGTGTAATTTCTTTAGGAAATATTCTGAAATGGAAAATTCAAATGATTCAAAGAGGTTCAAAGTTCTGCAATTTCTAAACAAATTCCGAGAATGCCGCTGAGCCCAGCAGTGCGTGACATTGCATTTTATTTCTTATATTTACTCTGGAAACAGTGAAAGGTCAATAGCAGCAGGCCCGCCAGCAAACCATCTGCATTGATCCAAACGAGAGCCATTCTGTTTTCTGGCTCTTTCATTTTTTTTTCTCCCCCCCCCACTCAAGACACATGTTGTCCAACCACAGTGTCACTGATTGGCTGGGTGCAGACAACAAAACCTCCGAGAACGATGTCAATGAACAATTACAAAAGACCAAATGGAATTCGCAGGAAAACAGATGTGACGGGAATGAGTGAAACGGTTTCTCTTTGGATCGCACAGAGAGAGAGAGAGAGAGAGAGAGAGAGAGAGAGAGAAAAATCCATATTGATCGTACGCTTATGTAAGGTGGTTTTGGTTTCTCAACTGAATTTTTTGCTCGATGTCTCCGACTTTTCATGCAACCTAGCTAACCTTTAGAAATAGATTAACTTAACTCATAGCTTGAGCTAAAAATGTTATTGAATTGAATTGAACTACTTCGTCATCGCACACCTTACATTTTACCCATCACCAAAGTGAGCAGGGGTGGGGATGCTGCACCTCAGTGGTAACTTGGCAGCTGGTGGACTCGAACCCAAGAGACCCAAGTCCGTGATTCGATCCCGCATAGGGAAGAACATGAATTTTCTGAATAAGAAATGTCAGTGAAGTAACCACTGAGCTAAGCTAAGTGCGACAACAATGCAAGTTGAGCGATACCAAATACTGCGTCTGTTACAGAGGCCTTCCAGCAGGTGTAGGGTTACGTTGGCGATTTCGATTTCGTCATTTGATTGGCTAGGTCAAAAGACACAGAGGAAAAGGGTGGGGAGAGAGGACTTCCTGTGTATAACGAGATGTTATTACAGTACTCTCAAGCATAAACTTTACTTCTAATACGCTTTAGTCAAACACAAATATTGTCTTAGTGTTGTTCAAAGAACCAGATACCAGGTTAGCTTTTTTTTCCCCCAGTGCTTTCATTTCTTCTTATCTTGCACCTGGAGTCATCTGTGTCAAAGCTTTCACCTGTGTCATGTGCTTCTCTGCGCTTCTGGTGCCAACAGAGAGGTATTGCACAATACAAAGATAAGAAATTCTGCCAGGTTATGTTGGTTTTCCTGACTGAACTTAACCTCTAGTTGGTTGCATGAATGGGGACGGGACAAAGGTCACGTAACTATGGTCCAGAGCAGGGTTGTCCATGCTTTTTTTTGGCTCACGAGCTACTGTTGAAATGACCAGGCTAAAGTGATCTTCCTACATTGAAAATGATATATATGTTTTAATTTTAATTACTACTAGCATTAGCTTTGCGATCTACTGGTAGATCCCGATCTACTTATTGACCAACCCTGGTCCAGAACATGCCAACAGCCAGAGTCAATCTAAAGCGTCAAAGCGTTACGAGAATAAAGTCGTACATTTGGGAAAAACCGCACAGCGTTGACTATACGTGCAGCAGAATAAGAAACCAAGGAATCTTATGCAGATATAATTTAATACTGGGTTTAACAAAAAAAAAGGAGATGTTTCATCTTCTGCCTCATCAGCCTCACATCGTAATAAGTATCAGGACATCGAAAGGGTCTTCTGTACCAAAGACAGAACCACATGGACCTGGGTAAAGTTTGTTATCGCACGAAATCCCAAACTTCTATGAAGATAAACAGCATTACTTGGACATCTGTGAACGTTTTTGCTCTTGGAATTACCATTTTTTTTCTTGGAATGTGCGGCTTTAACTCGTAAAACACTACGACGCTTTTTGCTAAATGTTTTGACTTGACTTTAGCCCCCAGACGTTTCGACATTAATCTAATAATATATATATATATATATTTTACATTAACAACGTGGCCCTAATCAAGGAACTGTCGTACAGCGGCAGTAAAGTAAGATACGACTGTTTTCCATCTTCCGAATCAGTGATCTGCAAGGAAATTCCTGAGGTTAAGCTGTGCTTGCTCAATCTTATTTGCTTTCTTTATTCAAATTTTGTGCAACATACCCCAGGTCTGTTTCCCCAATGCTTGTTTTTGTGTTCTTCACTTTTGTTGGATTTCTCGCCTGTTTGGACTTTTTGGACCTAGTGAGGAAACTAACCTAATTCCAGACCCCTGAACAAACACATTTGTTGTCTAAAATAGACATTCAATCGTCCCTAGTTCCTTCCTTCCTTAAGATTGTATTCCTGGTACTGTCCAGAGTTCCTAAAACTAGAACTAGAAGTGAAAGGTCCCTGAAATGTGTCCCTGTTGTCTTTCTTCCTAGTCTGTCTTTTCCTTTTTTCCCTCTATCTTTACCATCATTCTCTGCTGCAGTAGCTTTAATAACATCTGTCACTAATGTTTAGTGTTTACTCAGGAAATACTGAGTACCGACTGTCCCTCGGGGCCTTTCTCCGCTTCTGTTAAGAGGAAATCACGTTCGAAAGGAGAAGGAGACTTGTGTGTCTTCCACTCATCCTCTAATTGGACACTAATCGTTATGTGTGGACACCCATAAAGGGCAGACGTAATTATTGGACACTAATGCCAGACAGACCATACACCAGGGGGCGCAGGTTATTGCATTACCTTCGTCTGAAGTGTTTGATTTGGATTAATTCACGCAGACACCAAAGTGAAGGTTGTCGAGGTGGTAACATGAGTTACTAGTTGTGGTCATAGGACAGGGGTCAGACAGGAGGAAGAGAAACCACTGATGTTTGACTGTCAGCAGGTCTGGCTGCTGACGCAGACAAATACTTGTGTGCGTACTGAAGATAAAATACATCCAAACGGTGTCTAATGGTAGTTGTGAAGTACAGTGCTGGACTGTGACGGAATACATCGGAGGAAGACCGAAACACGCCATTCAGAAATGTCACGATACATTAATAAGAGAGCACGTCTGTGTCATCGTTTCTGTGCGCGCGTCCACCGCCTTCGCTAACCGCCGTGTCTTGGCTGCAAAAAAGAAAAAAAGAAAAAAAGGCGGCTCAACGGCGTATGCTAACGGTGTCAGTACGAATACCGTGGAAGTTTCTTGTAAAAATGTTTCGTTCTTTTAACCGGTGTATTGTTTAGAGATGGGTCACATCTCATAGGTGGAGAAAATATTCGGGTTAATTTGCCGATTCAAAGTTTCGTTTTATAGGACGTGATTTTCATGTCTCAATCTGTTATGTCAGTCTCCGTATGACCGAAAGGCCATCAAAGTGCACTGAAACATAAGAACTGTGACGCTAAAGTGAACAGATGATCTATTTTTTTTATTATTATTATTATTTTTTTATTAATTAAACGTTCCATGAACTGATTACGGGCGCGTGATATCGCATCATATCGATCGCAGGCTGGTGAATTTCAGTGTGTCCATTTCACAGCAGCGTGTCTCCTCACAATAACATTTGTGTCCACATCATAACAATGTGTCCTCACAATAACATTTGTGCTCTTCAAGCTATTAGAATGTCTTGCCGGCATAATGTGTCATCGTAATATTTATAAATATAACATAAATATGAATGGTAATTGTATGTGTCATTTCGACTGCCCTCACAACAGTGAAACACAAATGGCTTCAAAGCAACATGCCAAATGGCAATGCCAAAAATTTTGAGGCTCAAATCGATGTTAAACAAAGTCCCGTGACGTCACTACGCTGCTAACTGATGAGTGAGTGACATTAGTTTTATGAACATTTTGAGGCACGAGTGCACTCCCCTTCACCCCGCTGTTACATAATACAGGGCTGTGTTATTCACACACACACACACAGAGCTATTTTTACCAGGACTTCTACACTGACTTCCATTCCTTTGTACAGAATATTGCCACGATCGTGGAAAAACATTAGGTACATGTGATTAACTGCGATACTTATCTGACAAATCACGAAGTGGATTAACAACTGGACACGTCCTGGGTTACGACCCAGAAGCCTGTAGACGCCGAACGCGGTGTCATGTCACAGATTCATTCCTAATAAATGCACAGATTACACGGTGTACATAAGTGTGTTGTTGTGGTTATATATATTTAAAAAAAAAAAATCCGCACTGACTGCACTGCGGCGGCGGCAGCTTCAGCGCAACAGTTGTCAGCGTCAATGTGAGCATCAGTGTGTTCGTCCACCCACCCACACACACACACACTCTCACCTGAAATCCCAGCACCGATGACGATCACGTCGTAAGTGTCTGCAGCTGTGGTCATGATGATGGATGACGGATTTGTTGCTCGTTCTTCTTCTCTGTCTTCCTGTCCCGTGTCGTCGCCGCCGCTGCTTCCTCTTCTTCCTCTTCTTTCTTCTTTTTCTTTTCCCGACTGCAGCCCGACACGCACCAGCGCATCTGTATTAAAGACTGCGGACTGACTCCGCCCCCCTAAACTGAGGAAGGAGGATACGCGTACACAAAACGCCGTCAGCAGGGGACGCTCGTGTTGCACGAAAAATATCATCCTATTCTGAGCAACACTTTTGAAACCACCGGTCCGCGTCCATGTTGATTTTTTTTCACTAAACGGTAAGGGCCAGTGAATGTTCAGCCCAATGGTGGATTTAAGGACCTGCCAGTGAGAAAAGTATCGTGTCAGACACCCAACAAACCCCTCTTATCTTTTGGTTTTTGCTTCATCGCAGTAAAAAAAACGGAGCTGAATTTTCAGTTATATTAAACAACACAACAACAACAACGAGGTCTGCCAAGGCCAAAATAATGCAAAAATAATCTACTACTACTACTATCTATCTATCTATGAATAAAAGAAATGAATACAACAAAGTTTGTTTTGTTCCACATTCTACATCACATATCAGGGGAGCGGGGAAAAATATGCACAATTGCAGTGAATTTTCCAATAAATATTGAGTTTGGTCCCACGACATCGTCCCGGTTTTGACACCCCCTGCATTAGATGACGTAGTTTACGTATAATGTCACTGATGCAGGATTACAGTTCTTCAGTAGCTAAAATGATCTAACAGACCTGGACGTTTAAACCTGGTAGAATTTGATGAAGCTGTACTTCAGGAGCGCAGTAATATTATTTGAAAGTGAAAGTGCAGGATGATGCAGTTGGATCGGCACTATCAGGTGACCCTTTCAGCCCGAATGCCATCTCTGATGTGGGGAGCACTTTGACGGTGATGTGTTATGCGATACACTGGAATGAATGCAATTTACCAATGGTGCTACAGTTGGGGAGCGTGTACAGACCTGGCCTTACAGAAGATCCTGGGTTATAACTGGTGTACTTTTTAGTTTGAGTTTTAATGACTTAATTCAAAAAGAATCCAGTCAAACCAGGTGGTTTAAGTTGATGGGCTGGTTTGTGTGTTTCTCAGTTATTTATCTGTACAAACGGATAAGCATTCTGCATATAATCCCATGATTATTATGAGCTACAATGCTGCCATCTAGTGGCTTTCACTTTCACATACAGCCGTTCATGGCATTGCGTTATCGTTTTCATTATCGGCGGAAAAAACGATAATGACTCTTAGCATAATTACAAAATGATGCTAATGCTAGTCGGTTCCATAGTGTAACGCTTCTGGGGACTCTCTGCCAACAGAAAATTATATCTCGAGCGACAACTACGTCATAATAGTAGCTAGCCCAGAACAAATGGCTATCAATTTGGCAGCATTATAGACCAAGTCATCCTGTGTAAATAAAAACCTTGGGAGTTCTCTTCGGGAAATTTATTAGCAATTTAGGCTCCGGCAGCAGTACAGCACCAAAAACAACAGTAAAAACACACAAATAGCTAAAATACATAAATATGGTAATAATATCAATAATATAATATAGCTAAAATACAAACATGAGTAGCAGCACACTAAATACATTAAAATACAAACATGAGTAACAGCACACTGTCAACGAATATGGTAAACCTGAACAGTCTTACCTCACGGCTATCCACATAGATACTGGCTACGATGGTCCTAAACCATATCCATTTATAGTTAGCTATTTCCAAGTCAATCTTGTCTGTCTTTAAAATTAATTTAACAACTTTATAATGTGTGGACACATGAGTATTATTAATAACAGAAATAGTTGCGCTTCAACAGTAGGCTCGGACTTGGCTGTCCAAGCGAAAAAAAAAACTACAACTGATATGAGCTCCTTGTTCAGAAAGCAAATTTGCACTATAAGTGGAGTCCTACAAAAAAACGAAAAACTACGAATTACCTTGTTTTGTCATGTTTGATAATGACTTGCAGTTAATTGTAGTCATTCACTTCTTTTCCCCTTCTGCTAATATTTACGGTAAGCTAGCAGTGACAGTTAGCTTCGTGCCCGTCTATGCCTTGACTAAAAAAATTCGTATATCAAAATGTAAAAAGACTTAAACAGCTAAAGGGGAGAGAATGTGTGGTTGTGCGGAGGGATGTCCACTGGGCGGCAGCACAGGATAGGCCTAATTATGCCGTAGTGTTGTTGACGTGAACCGTGATTCTGTGATGTTCCCAAGAGGTTGCTGCATGAAACCTACATATCACATTAACATAATTATGATTATAATTTTGTTTAAGTTTTGTTTATGTTCGACACTATAGTATATATTCGTCACGGAACGGCTTTTCTGACGTGTTCTCCATGTTTTTACTTCTCAACGAACCGATATAAGCTAGCATCAACTCCATCATCGATAGTGCAGCTAGGAAGCCTCAACTTCTGGTGGAAGTTGATATTTAAGAATGATAATTTTATTGTGATATTTAGTACTATTGATCAACATTTAATGTCGTTACATGTCTGGTGAGTTATTTAAGGTGTAAAATAGATTTTTTTAAATTTATTTTTTAATATTTGTTTTAAAGTTTTAAACCTCTTTTAGACCCTTTTTGATGTGACATACAATTTTGGTATTGGTATAATTTTTTAATGGTAAATTGACATAATTCTATTGTAGCCTTTAAAATGTTTTATTGTTATTTTTTAAATATCGTTTTTTTTTGTCACAAAGTAATCAGTGATTCTGTCTGTACTGATATCTACAAAAAAGAAACTTCTGATGTTATTCCCTTTCTGTTCACATAATGCTTAAGATGATGTAATCTGAAGCCATTTTCAGTAATCCAGTGCACTAAGATACAATTTTAACGTTTCGGATGAAGCCAGTGGAGATCAAAGAAAGCAGACACAAGACTTTATTCATTATAACTGACTTTATGCACAAAAATGATGAAAATGTACTCTACATTATGAGATTCAAAAAAAAATAATCTTGAAATATTTTTTAAAAACGCTTTTCTCCGCAATCAGTCTTTATTTGTATTTTTCAATTGAATTTGTAAAAATAAAAAAAGCAAAGGAAGGAAAATAAAACAATAGACATTTGTAAAAACCCTTTTTTCCGCAATCAGTCTTTATTTTTTCTTTAATTGAATTTGTAAAAATAAAAAAAAAACAAAGGAAGGAAAATAAAACAATAGACAGAAAATATAATAACGTTCAACTTTTGGTTCTGACAAACTCACCACGGGGTGGCGCTTGAGTTTGAGTCGTTGCACACACACTTGCACACACACACAGTCAGCTGAAGTCTGAAGCCCATGATTTGTGGGGTATTAGTTCACTGTTGTACCCACACCTGTGTGAAAACCTACAGTCGTGTACCATAGAGGAAATCAGCGATTTTAGCTAACGGAGGACATGGCAGCTGTTGATCCACTGTTCAACTCCCCCGTTCAGATCCTCTTTTTCAGATTTACCTTGGTGACACAACAGGAGGTAACACAACACCGACGGCCTCTGTGTCTCCGCGAGCTAAAACAATTCATTTTTTATGGACTTTTATGATGTGGGAGACTGAGGAGTTCATAAAATTGTTTTGCTAGCTGAGTCATCCCAAGTCCCAGAAACAACGTCCCTGTGTCCAAGTCTGAGCTAAAGGTCTCCTTTTAAAACAGTTCTGTCTGAGTGAAGGCTGGTGTTTTTCCGCCCCAGGCGTTTTCTCTGCCGTTAAATGGGATCAGTGTTTGTGATGATGCAGATGTGCACCAGCAGTGTCGGGGCGGAGTCTGTCTGGGGTTGTCAACTCCTGGTCAACTCTGACTCCGGTTGCTCTGAACAAGTCGGTCTGTGTTGTCCGGCCCTCTGCTGACTCCCGCTGATTGGATGAACCTGACGGAGAGCGAGTCCACTGTGGTTCGGTTGGCTCGGAGACCTGCACGAGTGTAGGTTCTAGGTCATCACCGTGTAACATGAGCACGAGTTCCGGGACGAACTTCCTCATTCAATTCCAAATAATAAGAAAAAAAGTTCCGGTAGTTTCAATCAGACGGACTTGGGAAGAACAGTGTCCACAGTCCCCCGAGTGGTATCAGCGGATCGGTAACACCACTCAGCTGCACTCCTCGCAGTTGCAGGCCAGGATGTACCTGTAGGTGGCGGTAATGCGAGTTCCGCCAGCACAGCGCAGCCGGATGGCCTTCAGTTTGGAGGTGTGAGGCCGGCAGCAGGAGCAGCTGCTCTTGAAGGGCTGTTTGAGAACCGAGCTGAAGGAGATGAGCGGATCGGAGCGCGTGGTGTGGCTACAGTGGCCCTCGCAACGGGCCAACAGAACCATCTGAAACAAGAAAGAGAATCAGTGTTATCCGGGCGGACCCCAGGTGACTCCGACTGGGCTTGTAGGAGACTAACAGAGAGATGGAGCAGGGAGCACTTGATGCTTGATGTATAAACGTACCGTCCCTACCCTTTTTTTGTACCAAGGACCCTACCCTTTTTTTTGTACCAAGGACCGGTCGGTCGGTATCAGCCCACTGTGGTCTGGTACTAAATGAGCTGTAGACCAAGGGTTGAGAACCCCCGATCTACAGCTCATTCCCTTGCAGGGTGCTGTAGCTACCAGTGCGCAAGATCCTGGGCAGTCCGCGAATCCATCACAGGGCTAAATATAGAGAGATGCAACCATTCACGCGCACGCTCATGATAATTTAGACCACGGGTGTCAAACCCATTTTGGGTTCAGGGGGTGAAGTCAACGTAATTAGATGTCGGGCTGGACCAGTATGATCATAACATACAAAAAAGTATTTTTTTCCCCCACTTTGTTTTCATGCCAAGAAGTACATAGGATAAATCTTCATATTTAGTGAACTCCATTTTTACAAAACATTTCCTGAACATGAAGTGCTTGTGTATTATTCAATTTTCAGAATTCATCATGCGGGCCGGATTGAAACCCCAAAAGGGCCAGTTCTGGCCCGCGGGCCATATGTTTATTATTATTAAAAGGCCAGTTCTGGCCCGCGGGCCATATGTTTGACACCCCTGATTTAGAGTGTCCAAGCGACATACTTTAGGCTGTGGGATGAAACCAACCTCAAACTAACAGCGATATTAAAGGTTAAAATGCCTGATTTCTATTGGCGAACTGAGTCATTTAGTCAAGCATGGGCTACATTCATTTTTTTTCCTAGAGTTGATAAAAGCTGCGATCTGCTGTCCTGACCTTGTCATTGCCAATACCAGAAATGTAAGGAGGCAGAGTCAGAAGAAACAAAGAGCCTGCTTGTGGAAACGTCGGAGGCCGAAAAGGAGTTTTGGTCTCACACCTGCAAACTGGGAGATAACAACCAGAGCTAGAGAACATTCCTGCACCTGCTGAATCACCCCCCCTCCCCCATCACCCACGCGCACCCACACACAGGAGCAGAGACTGAGAGAGACAGCAAGGCCTACATTTAATAAATAAGAAAACACTGTGGTCATTTAGCGGCAGTACATCTATCTGTCTATCGATCGATTGATTGATCGGTCTGTCTGTCTATCCATCTATCTATCTATCTATCTATCTATCTGTCT